ATTTAATGCTAATGTTATTTTTAAAAGCATTTTTACTGTATATTGTGATTTTGTCACTGGAGAGAGGAACTAGAAAACTGGGTCATGGGTCAGGTGGGAAGGGAGGTCAGAATTGGGAGATGCATTTTCACTGTAAACTTTCTTATAATTGTCTGCAACTCATTTAATGCTAATATATTATTTTTAAAAGCATTTTTACTGTATATTGTGATTTTTATTTTAATATCTGCTATTTGTTAATGCTTAATTTACTGTTTTATTTTTTTAATCATAACACCACTGGAGAGAGGAACTAGGAAACTGGGTCATGGTTCAGGTGGGAAGGGAGGTCAGAATTGGGAGATTCATTTTCACTGTAAACTTTCTTTTTTTTTAAAATTAAATCTTTATTGTTCAGATTATTACATTTGTTCCTCTTTTTTCCCCACCATAACTCCCCTCCTTCCAGCTCCCACCCCACCCTCCGCCCATTTTTACTGTATTGTGATTTTTATTTTAATATCTGCTATTTGTTAATGCTTAATTTACTGTTTTATTTTTTTAATCATAACACTGTTCATTTAAAAATTAAAAATACTTGTTTGAATTGGTAAGACAAATAACCATGAGAATAGCAAAAAGAGCATCTTATATCCCAACTGCGATTAAAAAAAACTAAATGGAATGTTTCAGCTGTTTGATGCAAGGAGACAGAACTCAGAGGTTTACAGCCAAGTTAACTGCCTTAAAACAAACAATAAGCAGAACACTCTTCAGAGGAATAGGACAGAATCTAGAGACTACAACTCATCATCCATAATGTTCATTAGGATACAATCCAAGACTATTAGACATATGAAGAAACAGAAAAATATGACCCATACTCAAGAGAAAAAACTAAGAGACTGATCATAAGATGACAGAGATGTTGGAATTATCAGACCAGGATTCTGAAGTAGCTATAAAATTCAAGGATATAAATGAAAATATGATTGCAATGAATGAACAAAGAGGTCTCAGTAGAAAAACAGAAGCTATAAAAATACCCAAATGAAAATTTTAGAAGTGAAAAATAATAATTATCTAAACTGGACAATTATCTAAGAGGATATTAGAGATGACATAAGAAATAAGTAAACCTGAAAGTAGATCAATAGAAATTATCCAATCTGAAGAACAAAATTGAAAAGAAAATTAACAGAGCCTCAATATCCAAGTGTCTAACAACATAATTTGAATCAGAAGAAGAGAAACTAGTACAAAAAAGATAGCTAAAGAAATGAACCCTAAAAATTTCTCAAATTGCTGAAAGACATAAATTTACAGATTTAAGAACTTAACGAACCCAGTACCCCAGTACATCCACATGAAGGCAATTCTTTAAAACCAAAGATAGCCGAAACCGGTTTGGCTCAGTGGATAGAGCATCGGCCTGCGGACTGAAAGGTACCGGGGTTCGATTCCGGTCGAGGGCACGTACCTGGGTTGCGGGCACATCCCCAGTAGGAGATGTGCAAGAGGCAGCTGATCGATGTTTCTCTCTCATCGATGTTTCTAACTCTCTATCTCTCTCCCTTCCTTTCTGTAAAAAAATCAATAAAATATATTTTTAAAAAAAAAGAAAAGAAAAAAAGAAGTGTTGGGCCCTAGCCGGTTTGGCTCAATGGATAGAGCGTCGGCCCACAGACTGAAGGGTCCCAGGTTCGATTCCAGTCAAGGAATCTTGGTTGCAGGCTTTATCCCTGGCCCTGGTCAGGGTGCCGGCAGAAGGCAACCAATCAATGTGTCTCTCTCCCATCAATGTTTCTCTCTCTCTCTGTCTCTCCCCCTCCCTTCCACTCTCTCTAAAAATCAATGGGAAAATATTCTCAGGCATGTGCCCCTGACTGGAATCGAACCCGGGACCATTCAGTTCACAGGCCTGATGCTCTATCCACTGAGCCAAACTGGCTAGGGCTTAAAAAATATTTTTATTGATTTCAGAGAGGAAGGGAGAGGGAGAGAGAGATAGAAACATCAATGAGAATCATTGATCAGCTGCCTCTTGCACGCCCCATACTGGGAATAGAGCCCGCAACTCGGGCATGTGCCCTTGACCAGAATAGAACCAGGGACCCTTCAATCCGCAGGCCAACGCTCTAGTCACTGAGCCAAACCAGCTAGGACTATAAATATTTTTTGAATGGTTCAAGCTGTGTGCTCAGTGGTTGAGCTTCAACCTATGAACCAAGAGGTCACGGTTCGATTCCCAGTCGACAGGAAGCAGCCGGTCTATGGTTCTCTCTCATCATTGATGTTTCTGTCTCTCTCTCCCTCTACCTTCCTCTCTGAAATTAATAAAAAATATTAAAAATATTTTTGAATGAATAAGAGTAACATTAGGAACAATAATAAAAGCAGCTACATTTGCCTTACTCAGAGTGCAACCCACAGTTCCTGTCACTGAGTGAAAGAATTTACTAGTGATTAATATTTAAGTGAAAGAATAATTCATAGGTGAGGTAAACGTGCGCAGACCCCGTCCTAAAGCCAGAATTGATGGCTGATCTGGACGCTGGGGGCATCAGTCCCCTCCAACAAATGGTGGCCCCAGGTGCCGGGGCTGTGATCACCTCCACTTTCATGACCCCCCTGGACGTGGTGAAGGCCCGCCTGCTGTCTCAACTCCCCGCAGTGACCACTGAGCTGATGCCTCCCTCCGGACTCCGGAGCCTCTTACGCCAAATTGCCCTCCTCCCTCCAACCCACAGGGAAGTGCCTCCTGTACTGCAATGGTGCCCGCTGTGCCACCTGCGTTCAGGACCCCACTCGCTTCACCTGGTGATGACTGTGCCAGCAACTGCCATCTACTTCACGGCCTATGACAACTCAAGGCCTTCGTGTGTGGTCGAGCCCTGGCCTCTGACTTCTATGCACCCATGGTGGCTGGTGCACTGGCCTGCTTGGGCACCCTGAAGCAGCCAAGTCTATATTCTGGCATATTCTAGCTCTTTGATTTAAAGGCAATTTCTGATTTAAGTGCTGAAACATGAAGGTGTTTTTATTTGTTTGTTTGTTTTAATATGTTTTTATTGATTTCAGAGAGAGGTAGGGAGAGGGAGAGAGAAATAAAACATCAATGATAAGGGAGAATCATCAATCAGCTGTGCCCTGCACAAACTATCGGGGATAGAGCCCAAAACCCAGGCATGTGCCCTGCCTGGGAATCAACCGTGACCTCCTGGTTCATAGGTCAATGCTCAACCACTGAGCCAGACCAGCTAGGCTGAAACATGAAGTTTTGAAGACTTTTAGATATTTACTATCCAGTTGAAAGGGGTACGTACTCTCAGAATAAGATAGCTAAGACTTAAAATGAGATTAGAGACATTCTCACTAACCCACTTCTATTATGCCACCAAAAGTTAGGGGATTGTTTACTTGTTTATGGTCCACCTCTCTCAATAACTAAGGACTAAGGGAAAAGGGAACTTTGTCTTATTCCTTCTGTATTCCCAATTCCTAGGACTATGCCTGGCATATGGCAGCTGATCAATAATAAATATTACTGCTCTGGCCAGTGTGGCTCTGCAGGTTCGATCCCCAGTAGGGGCGTGTGCAGAGGGCAAGTGATTGATTATCTCTCTCTCTCTGCTCCCCGTTCCCCTCTCTAAAGTCAGTGAGCAGGTCCTTAAGTGAAGATTAAAATAAATAACTAAATAAATAACTTAAAGTCATACTTCACTTCCTACATTACATAGAATGAGGGTAAACATCTCAACAAAAGATATAAGTAATATACTAGTAACATATTTAAAGAATTAAGATAGAGTTTTCATAGTTAAAGAAATTCTTTTTTTTTTTTTTCTGTACATCAGATTATTTATTCACTTGATTCTTAGATTCACTTGTTGATAGATGCATGTTTGTTGTTCACAATTTGTATCTTTACCTTTTTCTTCTTCCTCCTCTTAAAGGATACCTTTCAGCATTTCGTATAATACTGGTTTAGTGGTGATGAACTCCTTTAGCTTTTCCTTATCTGTGAAGCTCTTTATCTGACCTTCAATTCTGAATGATAGCTTTGCTGGATAAAGTAATCTTGGTTGTAGGTTCTTGGTATTCATCACTTTGAATATTTCTTGCCATTCCCTTCTGGCCTGCAAAGTTTCTGTTGAGAAATCAGCTGACAGTCGTATGGGTATTCCCTTGTAGGTAATTGAGTCTCTTTCTCTTGCTGCTTTTAAGATTCTCTCTTTGTCTTTTGCTCTTGGCATTTTAATTATGATGTGTCTTGGTGTGGTCCTCTTTGGATTCCTTTTGTTTGGGGTTCTCTGCTCTTCTTGGACCTGTAAGTCCATTTCTTTCACCAGGTGGGGGAAGTTTTCTGCCATTATTTCTTCAAATAGGTTTTCAATATCTTGCTGTCTCTCATCTTCTGGCACCCCTATTATTCTGATGTTGGTACGCTTGAAGCTGTCCCAGAGGCTCCTTACACTATCTTCGTATTTTCGGATTCTTTTTTCATTTTGCTTTTCCGGTTGGGTGTTTTTTGCTTCTTCGCATTTCAAATCTTTGGCTTGATTCTTGGGCTCCTCTGGTCTGCTATTGGGTGTCTGTATAATATTCTTTATTTCAGTCCGTGTATGCTTAATTTCTAGTTGTTTCTTTATCATAGCATCGAGGGTCTCATTAGTTTTCGTGAGGCTCTCCAGAAGTTTATTGCAAGCCCTCAAAATTGCGTTTTTTAGCTCTATATCCTCCATTTCTGTCATGTTTTTTTGTCTCCGCATTTTTTATGCTTTCTTGGTGCACCCCCTTGTGGTCTTTGTGCACAGTCTTGTTCTAGTTAAGCCTTGATTGTTGTAGTTAATATTAGAGGGATTTTCAGTTAAAGAAATTCTTAAGAGATAGGAAGTCATATGTGAAATGTTTATATATGAACGTATATTCCATTCAACTATCTCTTCCTATTTAAAATTAATACCAAATTAATTTTTATTAAAGAAAATAAGATTTCTGACATAAAATAATTAAATTACCTGTCCTGCCAACTCCAATCGCTTGTTACCATAATAGTCTCTGTCATCAACTTTATTATCTCCTTGGGCCAGAATTACCCTTCTTACCATCACTGCAGTATAGATACATTTGGCTCGGAAATTGAATTCTTTAACCTGTAATTCAGAAATTAGAGAAAAATTTTGAGACAATGTATATTATAATTTAAGATGCCTCAAGAAAAGAACCAATGCTATAATATTTAAATAAGAAAAAAATGAATTGCTGTGGTTCTTGCTATTCAAAGAAATTCAACTAGTCTATAAACTTCCTGAGAGCTGAGATGATGACTTTTCATGTTTGTATTCAGTATCTATAGTAGCTTTTCTTTAAAGATAACCACTATCAACTCCTTCCCTTTCTATAATGTTTCGTGTTACTCCTTCATTAGAGGTAGAATCCATCATCTCCTTGTGTTGGCCTGTAAACTAGCAGTTTCTACTTCCTCTTAGAGTCCTGAAGTACCACATGAGAAGTCCAGGACACTGTTGGGGAAAAGGGGACTTTTTGGAAAAGCTCTGAGGAGACAGAAGTATGAGTAAAGACATTTTAGATGTCCAGCCCAATTGTTTTCAAATAACTCCAGCCTCAGCTGCTATCTGTCTGCAACTTTATGAGACCCATGATGAGAAAGCCCTTCTCCCACTGTTGAGCCCAGTCAAACCACCATGAGAGATAGCAATAAACAGTTATGTTGAGCCATTAAGTTTAGGAAATGTTTGTTATGCAATAATAGATAACAGGAATAGTACTAAAACATCGTCTGGCACTCAATTATTTATTGGATTAATGAATCCACCACAAATGTTCTATTCAATCTTCTCTAGTACAAACCATGAAATCCATATGAATAAATCTGGCTCAATCAGTAAGTTAAATCATAACTGGTTAAGTCCGTGGTCGGCAAACCGCGGCTTGCGAGCCACATGCGGCTCTTTGGCACCTTGAGTGTGGCTCTTCCACAAAATACCAGCTCTTCCACAAAATACCGACTTCTGTGCATGGGCCACGAAGTTTCAATCG